TGTGTTTGCCTGTGAAGGAGTGTGGGCCGGCTCCGTTGATGAAACGTGGCTCCCATCCACATGCCTCCCGGTCTTATTCCTTCTGGTTTACACTGGATATGGGGTGTGTGCTTGGAGCTGTGGATAGTGCAGCGCAAGCCACCTATGGCCCTCTGTATGCGCAGGCGTGTTGTGGCTGGCCACAGTGACAGGCAAATCCGAAACCGGATACCGCCAACCATGATCACTGTGGGGCGTGTCCAATGCACGTGCACGCATAAACAGACAGATAACATGCTGTCGTTAAATGTCTGCGAAACCGTCAGGAAGTTGCAAATAGAAATTGGGTGTGGTCTGCCCGAAAACACTACACTACTATGACGCGTTTCGATGTTAATACACGTCATCTGCTAGATTCAGCAGTCACCGAACGCTGAACCATTGGGATGTTAGTTTTGACCGCTATCTCAACCGCTAAGCCACCGGTTCACGACGTGCAAGGCTTGGCGTAACGGTATATTGATCGATGTTGTGGGTCATTTTGAAGTACATGTTGTGTGGATGGATTGCGACGCGCAGTCTCATTTTTGACCGCCATTCCTATTGAAATGAACCTTGGTCTTTCGATCACGAGCACCGTAGCTGATGCAAATCGTAATTGGGTGTTGTCCGCTAGAAAACACTGCCCTACTGTGACGCCTTTCGATGTTATCAGCTATCATCAGATAGAGATGTGGAGCAGAAGAAATTCGCTATTGCAAAATCCCGTTACACACTCTGTTGCTTGAACAAACGATCGGCGACTGTGGCACATTAAATACATAATCAATTAGTGGACGTCAACATAGTTCTGACTCTTATGGCCCAATTGGTCAACATAAAAATTGCAGTGGTGCTCAGCATACCGAGTTCTCGTCTCATAACCTTTACATGGTGCACGTACAATCCATGAAAAATCGGTCAAATTTTAGTGGTCAACAAACAGAGGTGGTCAGCTTGGGAGGTTCTAATGTGCATGGGGACTCCATCTTCAGCCGTCCTGTTCCACGGGTCCCAAGCTAAAAGCAGATTAGAGAGACAAGATCCTATGCGTCTGAAGTCATGTTTGGCATAGGAAATCAACAGCAGTTTTACCACATTTTGCTTTAATACATCTGCGATTATCGATTTCATAATTTGGTTAAAACTAGGAGTCGGTAGTTGGCAGGATCCGATCGCTTACTTCCTTTGTATGTCGCACGGACGATTCCATGTTTCCATCCAGATGGGAGTGTATGGGAATCAGAGACACATGAAAAGTTTGCAAGATGTACTGCCGTGTTAAAAGCAAGGGTTTTAAAACTCTTAGCGGCTCGTGAAGATTCCCAAAGCGCCATTTACTCAAAATGACCGCGATGAATGTACGACAGATGCTAGGGGTGAATAGGACATTGGAAAACCCAATGATATTCGTTAGGAGTAAAAGGAAACACTTTCCATGGCGTTGGTAGCCTCTAAGCAAAATTGTTGTGCAAGAACCCGAGGTACGATCGTCATTGTTTATTCTGCAGACATAGCTAATTCTAAGTGCATGCTTTCCGACAAAAGAGACATCCACCCATCTTGGTCATCCCGGTTGGAGATGACATGACGTGAGTTTATTTCAGTGTCTAATTGTTGTGTGGTTTGTACTGCTTATGCGTCCATTCCTCCTGCATATGCACCTGCGGTTCCAAAGTATTCCGTTCCTTTGGTGGAGTCGTAATGGCCTACTGCTGGCTAGCCGCTGTTTCGCATCATTGCATTGCACTACCGCTAACTGGCGTAATAGTGCCTGTCTTTATTCCACTACTGTAGGAAAATACCAATGAGTATTCGCGATCAGTTATAATTAGATGTAGGTCATCACTGTCCACTCTTGGTCAGCATGGTTTGGCTAGTCTTGATAAGCACTATGCGGAAAGTCCTACCACTTGGTGCTAACTGATCCGTTCTGCACTGTTGGTAGCTGACATGACAGTAGTAGATGAGCCGGACTATATCACGGTGTCCTGGCAATCATGCAGCTCCGCGGCTGTCACGCATGGCGAAGCTGCACTCGCTGCTGGCATCTGGAAGCCATGGGGGCGGAATCTGGCAAGTTTCCGCTAGAAAGCGCAATACTGACGAGACCCAGATGGTATAAACACTGGTATCTGTTGCTTGCAAATATTTGCCAGACCTTGCAGACTTTTAGTGGACCGTGTAGGAGTGGAGTTTTCGATGTACCCACGGGATGGTCCTTCGGCCAGTGGTCGTCATGTGGAGTAGTACTCTGAGCTTAATCTTTTATTTGCAATTTACAAACATATAAAACATGTGGTGATGCTCGTAAAACTGAGTAGCGTGCTCTCTTGCCATCAGCACTTATCGGCTCTATTGAGTGTGGTTACGTAATTTCTGCTCCTTTTTGTTGTTTGTCATGTTATATGTTGCCACCAAGTCTCATTTATCCTCTAGATAACTTCACTTGTTATGCTTCGAATCCAAGTGTCGGCTCAGTGCCATACTCGGAAAGATCCGCAATTTAACCTACTATCCTTGTTAAATTGTTATAGGGGCTATTGAATCTTTGTTTTAGACCCCCTGACAGAACATGCAAAATGACATGTAAAATATTGGATATTGCTCAGTAATATAAATTTGGTGATTGACCTTAGCTTCTTCTCATGCGCACTGGGTGTCACAATGAGCATGTATGCGGCTAATCTTCTTAGAACATATCACCTATAACCCAAATTTAGCACCATCAAAAAATAGTATCTTTTCAAGCTAGCTTATGATGTTGGATGAGGGTCGGTCAGTAGGGGAAGTCGGGGTTGCACATTGGAAATGCGCAGCGAATGGTCTGTATGCGCTAAATGGCAGCTAGTTTCTAAGTCATGTTAGCTGCCACTCATCACCGGTAACCAAGTGATCCTAACTACGAAGTCGTACTATTAATTTAGCGGGTTCTCGCCACACAGCAAATATATAGAATAACTAGGGATGACGGTATCTGTGTGGTATAAAAAAGGGATCTAGTTGTTTGCTGCATGTACGGTGGCTGCTTGTTGAGTGGGTCTGTTACTATTCTCTTCCGATGCCATAAACCGATGTTATCACTACTATAAATATCGGCACTATACTCGTACTCCACCATCAATGCTGTCTATAATAAAAAAATCTTATTTTGATTTACAGTACATGCGTTCTGCAAACTATGCCGTAGGCGCCTATGAGAATACGCACTAAACGCAACGTGGTTTAGCTGTCTAATTTCTCAGAGTAACTAGGATTATGGTAGTAAAACCACTACTTTGGGTGTGCTGCAGTCCTAACTAACTGCGATCCACTTTACCATCAAGAAATCATTTAAACAAACTATTAAGACAACCAAACTTTCACAGCTAGATGCGACTCCATTCAAACAGCAACAAATAAAAATATCTGCGAATCGCTGGGTACGGATGTATTGCATAACCTATGAACTATAATAGGCTTGACAATCATTATAAAACTGGTAAAGAACTGTTCAGGTTCAACTAATCGGTCTTTACCACCCGAATATTTGCTTAGATGGAACTTGAGCTAAACTGGTAGAAAAATGCGCAAGATTTAGTACAACGCAGTTGGGATCTAGATTAATTTTCAAACTTCGCAAAATATACCGCAATAACAATATATCAGGCTAAGAATCACCGGGTGGTCCTGGATAAAATGAGTTGCAGAGTGTACTTATAGTTATTGAACGAGCCGCGCTATATCCTAGTCAATTGTCAGTCATGGAGATAAGCGGCCTTCACCCACGGCTTAGTGACGCATGTTGCTTGCACCTGAAGTCATGTGGTCGGAATTAGGAAGCGGTTCGAGGAATGGGCACCACTAACGAGACCAAGAAGGTCGAAACAGCTGTCTGCTGATGTGTCGAAGCCTGCTGACTTGGAGGGGACTGAGACAAATATACCGCAGAAATTACTTCAAATACAAAGTAAAATTCGGGGTTTAACCTACGAGTATAACGATGAGTTTATTCGGAGCTACTAAATTCACGATTTTTCGTAGCCTGACGATTCCACTTACGAAGCTATAAAGCACTGAGTTGGAACGGAAATGCTTTAAGTAAGGTATGAACTTAGCGGTCAAGTATTTTTAAAAGTGTAACTTGATGTGTCTGTGAAATACAAGCGGTTATGCACTTCGAATAACACACTACGTGTTAAAGTGCGCTCGAATTTAACCAGTTGCTTGTGTGTAGATCCTAGTAAAATTGTCCACAAAAAACGAGATTAAGAGCCTTTATTTTTGTGATAAATATGAAGATAATCAACAGATCAAATGTAGCTGCGGCAGCCAACTTTTTGTTGGCGCATCAGCCTTCGACTACTTGCAAGGACAGAAGCATTTTGCAAGAAAAGTAAATGCCAAGAAGTATTAAAGACACTTAATATTCGTCATCCAAAAGTGAATGTCTTTCCACATAGCTTTTCGGACCAAATTATCAAACATGTTTTCGATAAATTTAATCTTTCACGTTAATCTAAGTACGACCGCTTGTTAAAAGTTGCGGAGGGGAAAACGTCCGATTTGCTTCCGGTGCCATACTCACTCTGTCCTACACAAGCCCATATGCAATTTAAAGGTAGTTAAATTACTCTGTGATGCAGGGCGGCCGGCATGTTGTAGATCAAATTATAATACGCTTATCAAGCTGCGGACAGAAACGACTGGATGCAAACTCCAGGAAGCAAACACAGCGCATAATTGAATCCGGCAGGTTATCTCTACTTAGGCACAAAGTAGCAGTTCCACCAACGAACTGTGAATATATGACTGGCCGACTATCTCAAATCCTGTACGAAGCCATTATGATATCCGACAGACGTTTCGTACTTGTTGGTTGAATCAAAGTTCTCTGAGTTAATGTATCAGTTGCGCGCATAAAAGCTTGAAATACATTGGTATTACTATTTGCGTGAAGAAAAATGCACAGTTATATTCGATTTCAAACAGTCTAAACTTACGTCGGGCTCGTTTCCAGGGCCATGTTGCCATAAATATGCGCAACCAGCGAAAGTCAGTGTCTTGTGAGCAAAACGAATCTCCTCGTGGCTACTTAGGCCATCCAGGGAAAGTATTGGCAGCTGAAAAAGTTGAAAAGTAGTCCAATCGAACAATGAGTCAAGCAAATTTTAAATTTGATTGGTCCGTTAAATCTAGTATCCACACAAGTTTACTACGGAAAAACCGGTGAGATAAATTTGTCTATCCCTTTGCTTTTACCATCATTCGGCTAACCACAATCGTTTTTATGGTATCCGATCGCGATTACCATTCCAATCGACAACTTCCCGGCGATGTTTTGCGACCAAGGGACAACCCAAATGTTTAACTGTTCCTGAAGTGGCCAAGTCACCCAAGAGCACCTCTAGCCCCCAGGTAGTACAATGAAATTCACTCAAACCCGCGGTTCAGTGTGAACAACTGTTATAACTTCCACTTAGTAGTAAAGACAGAATTGACACTGCTTGTACACGTTTACTTGCACAACTGAGGTTACAACCAACTGTCCGGGAAAGCCGTTTACTGCACTCTTGTTTGAAACCAATCGATGCTCACGTGCCATGTGGTTGGTTGAAGTTCCAAGCCAACATCCAAAAACACACGCTGGAAATTGATCGATTTTCACGTGCAATGTGTGGCTGACATAAGTGATCTCTCTAACGACTACAGCAATTTCTCAGGAACACACTAGGATCTCCTAGACCGCGAAATGTGCTTCTACGCTTTCTTACCAAAGCTAGTTCTTTTCTTACAAAATGCAATGCTTCAATTCATGGCTGCACCTGTTTACCCTTACCCTTACCCTTATTACTGAAACTTGGTGTAGTTACGATACGCCAACTATGCTTATTCAACTACCGTGCAGTAAAATAATTAGCAAAATTTGTTTGGCTTGTAGAGCTGAGGGCTGTACCATTCACTTGCGACAAGACCTCTAGGTGGGGCAATTAACTGACTCTCATCTGTCCTCAGTTGGTGACTCCGTTTGGATAAGCACATTCTTTAACAATCTAGACTTCCTTGTGGTTTGCATCCATGACCCACCACCTTAAAACGACTCCGCACTTGTCAAATTTAGCAGGGCCCTCCAGTGGGAAGAGCCACATTTCTCCACAGGGAACGTTATTGCTGGGGACTTCAACATGCCGGAAGTTTCGTGGGCTTCACTCTCCGGTCCTCCAAAGTACACCGACTATTTTGGAATCTATCGGTATCACAGGTTGGGCAAAACAAGTTACTTCTGTCACAAATACGAACAACAGCCTGGATCTAGTATTCGCTCTTAACCTCTCATGTGTTATTGTAAATGCCCTGGCTAATCTCTTGGGCGGTGATCATAATAGTGTCAAGTGCCTCAGCAATTAAGCATGGAAACTACACTATTATATCGTCCTATCCGAACCGTCGACTGGTCTCATTTCCTTAGACTTCTCCAGCCTCTTAACTGGGATAACCATTTCTTGACCAGGAATGTCGTAGGGTCTGTGTCAGAGCTTCTGATACATTTGAACAGGTATAGACCAACTTTCGCCATTAAAACGAAGGCTAATTCTATAGAATTAGATTTTCACCAAGAGTATGTAGCAAGTTACGCAAATGTCAAGCTAGGTATAACAAAACAGGTGTCTTCTCCATGATCATACGTAGAAATAGTCTTGGAAATAAGATCGCTACAGAAAACAGGCTGTGTTGTACGGCTGAAGGGTGCCTGGCAATTTTATAATCTCAGTGAGACACCCGCGCTCACACAACTGCTACAGTCAACAAATTCTAGTCATACCGACCGAATCCGCAACTCAATTCGACACAAAGATGTAAATGTCACGGAATCAATTGGCTTGTGTGACGTTTAGTGTTTATTTTGCTTCCTCACTTATTAACGAACCCGAGCGTGCAGACATCAACCAGCCGAAATACACTGACTTCATTTTCTCGAAGGCGTATAAAGATCGCTGAGGTTAAGTCCGCTCCAAATCAGTTCGATACTCCACCTTCGCGGAGCAAGATGGCATTCCACCATTTTACTTACTCATGTTGGCGAAAACATTTCCATTTTATTTTTTAAAATTTGCAGCTGTTCTATAAAATATAGCAATTTTCCACCCCAATGGAAACATTCTACCATTATTCAACAAACAAAAGAGGTGCACGCAAGTAAGTGGGTAACTATCGACTCATTACCCACACCCCCATCGTTTCCAGAATATTTGAAAGAGTAATCAAAGGGCATTTTTTTGAATACCTTATGTTACATAGACCAGCAACATGGACTTATGAGCAAACGCTCGTGTACCACATGCCAGTTCGACTTCTAGATTACATTACGTCGGCTGTAAATGCCAAAATGTCGGTACTTGTCATCTTCCTTTATATGTCCAAAGCCTTCGAGTATGTTCCGCATAGGCGACTTTTGATGAAGTTTAGGTCTACGGTATGCCTGACTCACTCCTGTCTTGATTTACCTCCTTCTTAGGAGGTCACACTCAGACTCTTTTACTAAAAACTTGGAATCACAACCACGTGCGATAACGACTGAAGTAGCGCAACGTAGCCTACTTGGCTCCACTCTGTTTCTTCTGTATATCAAAGATGTTTCCGATAAAATCAAATCTGGTAACCCGTTTCTATTTGCGGATGACATTATAATCGTCCACTGCAGATAATCTTCAAAACATTCAAATGGAGCCGAATTCCCTTGAGCTCTGGTCAAATGAATGGTTAATTATATTCTCCGGACACAAGTCCCGCGTACTCTGTAATAGATGTAGCATCCCACCACAAAGTTTAACTTTAGCTATGGAACCAATCTCTATCACTCAGTTCGTCCGTGACCTAGGCTTATGTTACAATGAACTACTGGACTTCTCAACACATGCTCAACGATAGTTATCAAAGGCAAAACGAGCTTCAGACTTAAGCAACAACTCAATAGTCTTGCCCAAAGCCAAGCTAGCTATTTACTTTATTTGTGTACGCCCGCTTTTGGAGTACTGCCCGATCATATACAGTCACATACGCAAGAGTGGTCTCTTATCACTTGAAAGTTTGCAACGATCCTTCAGTAAAATCATAGTGAGTGAATCTTCATTAGCAACATATCACGACAGACGTGAATTACTGAGCATCGATCCTCTATGGTTACAAAGACTGAAGGTGAACTTAGTTATCTTTTACAAACTGATATACAACCTCAGATTCAGCTCAAGCACACAGTTGAATTTTTGGGTGGTTTACTGAATACTATTTAAGGTATAGAAAATTTATTCGCTTTTAACAAAAGTTCGCTTTGAAATTTCGCGCAAAGTTCTTCGTAGTTAGCTACTCAGCTATCTGGAACGAACTGCCGCACACAGTATGAGTTAGTCAGTCTATCAATCAATGCAAAACTGAACTTAGTCAATTCCCGCTAGTACCGAACATGGCTAAAGCTTTTAATTTACAGATAGCGACCAAGGAGCTATATTTCCAAGGACCAGGGAATGTGTTAAAAAAGGAACACACAACATATTAGTCACTCCGTTAAACCCAATCTTGCAACTTGGAGTTTATGCCCTCCTGTTCGTCACCTCAGCACTCCTATGACGATAGTCTAAATGAAAATTAGCCTTGAAGTTTTTTTATCCCAAACATTTTCACGTATTTTACCCTTCTAACTGCCCTCTATTCTCCTTTAGAGGAAATAAACTGTGTATCAGCAGCGCACGTCACAGCAATATTGCATGAACTTGCGCATCCAATCTCACTTTTTTGATCATCTACTCCTGTCGCAGCCATCGCACTACTCTGAAAACTTTCCTTTAAATGAATATTACGGATGTTTATTTCTTTTCTATGACCTCTATGTACATCATAAACTGAAACATTGTCCGTCGCTTGTTTAACATTTCCGTGCTTTCTACCCAGCTCTAGTCATCTTCATGTTTGCTTTTCTTCTTTATCATTTTTGGCCACTCCTGGGTTGATTCCCTGAGGTGACAGAGTGAGGCTTCTTACCTATCCAATACACCCACGCAAAGCGAATTGCCACATAATCACTGGGACAGGTTAAAACTGCTAGACTCGAAATAGCTGCGCGGGAGAATGGGCTGTGTATCAGGATTGCCTCGAAAAAAGAAATATTATGTAAACGTGATGAGGACATAATCGCAGACGACAGGGGAAATATGGTCAACTTATTGAGGACTTATTTGATTGTAATAGTGGCCAAAAATCAAGTGCCAATAAGATGAGAGCCTTTTCCATATATTTTCAGCCAAAACAAAAATTAAATGGGCCAAAATAGTGGGCTTATCTGTTTTAAAACCCAACAGCAATTGGCCAGATGAGACGTGTAAGTGCGGATGTAACCTCTAGAGGGACTGCCGCGCGTGAAAACAGGTCCTCAGTGGACGGTTCCATAGATAACCTTATTAATTACAAGTATTATTACTATCAGCTTTTTCTTGTACTACTTTTAACTGATAGTAAACTCCCAACACTACAGATAAAGCATTTTTACACTTAGGCAATTTTCTTTACTGTTTGCTTTTGCTGTACAACATAGCAATCGGTCTGTGCCTCGAAATGTCGAGCAATACGCTATGTATTTATTTAGTTGTTTTACATCACATAAACAAATTTGACCAGAAATGTTTTTTACGTATATCCTGGCACAGGCTGGGTCCTAAATGCTTTACGCCCAGATAATTTTATTTATATTTTGTATATTTATTAACTCATTGGTTAACCTGCACTTTGTGCCTGGGGACAGAATATCTGTCTGCTCCGTCATGACGGTTTCAAAGTGTTTTACCGTCCCATTTCCATCCAAGTTAATGTGAAGCCAATACATAGTTTTGATATGAAAATTTGATAGGATAGTGGGGGTTACTTGAAACACATTTAAATTGTAATGACTATTTTAATTTCAAGTATGAACTTTGGTAAACATGCAATACAGGTGTACCCACGAGAGAGGAAATATATGAAGGAGTCATGGCACGACTCGATCCCCATAGGATCTACATGGAAATCGTTACTAATCAAAACTCATACAACTTTTGTTCATGACTCCCCAATAAATTATCTTGAAGTAAGTATT